ATCCAGGTCTCCATTCAAAGTTCCATGGTAGGGACTTGGCGGACTTCCCTGGTAAGCAAAAAGCCTTCATATACGGTCAAATGTGCGCTATACAATCGAAAGGATGCTGCGTAAAGTATTGTATGAACACTCGTGAGTGACAGATGTATTGAAGGGTCTAAAATTTCCACGAAGCAATGGAAGATCAAGGACGTACTCAAAAACAATAATGTTCGCTCCTGCCTCTGCCCAAAGTTGGCCCTTTTTAAGACGAAATGTACATTCACCTTCGGAGATGGTCCTTGCCATGTGCAGTCATAATCCGTGCAAACGATAGGGCACCCTTTTTCCGATAGGGCCTCCTTAGCGTTTGCACGGATAGGCGATAGGGTGACACGGCGCGGACTACGGCGCAGCCAGGGCGCCGTTTTTCACCAATGATGCCATCCTTAACCCGATACAGCTGGTGGGAGACTGGTCTGGCTGCGCTCAAGGACATGCCCACTTCATATGCCCTATGGGTTGCTGGGCGCACCTTCAGTGCAGTCACGGAGCCATCCACCCTGTACACTGCAGCGTACACGTTCTCCCCTGAAATGTGCACGGAAGCCGGCTGAAAGGTTGGGCTACTCGAGGGCTGTCTCCCGACTATGCTCAAGGTACAGCAAGAGCACATCATTGGTTGGGGATTTTAGTCGAGTGCGTACGACCCCCCCCCCCTTCCGGCCCTCTGTCCTTCCTTTCGGAGGGGGTAAATAGCACATGGAAACAGGAAAAGCCGCGAGACAATACGACTCCCCCCCCTTCTACCAATTCTCAGATTTTCCCCAACTTCCTGCCACTTTTTCCAAAATTTCCCGAAAACTCCCTACCCCTACCTTTTTCCCAAGAACTTTGCTATCGAGCGGGGGGGGGGTAGGGGAGAAGGAGGATTGGCACTATTTACCCTTTACTGCCCCAGTCATCCGAAATCAGGCCAGTTCCTGACCGACTTTTTTCTCCGTGGGCAGTGGAAGAGCGAGGGTATATGTGTGGGGAATTAAAAACAGGCGAATCAGCGAAAAGTCAAAACCACCACTCCCACACTCCTAGAAAGGCCAGAAAGTAAATAAGACCCCCAAAATGAGCAAGTACGACCCCCCTTTTTGCAACGTCCGTGAAGCGAGAAAAACCGACCATCAAAATAAATTTTCTTAGCCCAAATACGACACCCCCTCCTGGCGGCCAAATGAGACCCCCCTCTCCTGGGCGGCCAATACGACCCTCCTGTTGGGATTCCCAACAAACTAGGTGTTCCTGGCGTTATACCACTTGAGTCGATCCCTCCCTCCTTCACGAGAGCGTATAAAAAAACGCACAACAGATAAGGCTATGGCCGCGCCTCGGCCAGCAGATATAATAAAGGACTTTTCGACCAACCTAATAGAACGGACATACGGACATTTATAAAATAACTATTTTGGTAGTGACCTGTGCAATGGTAAAGACGTTCAAATATCGTAATTAACCACATGGAAGATCTTCCAAGACACCAATACAGCCTTTGCAGCCCTTGTTTGAGAACTCTTGAGAAAAGTGAAAAAAGAATGACTCAGAAAAGAGACGTGTCCTGGGATCAGTGAAAAAGTGGTACCCCAAATAAACGCAGCGATTCTTGCTACTGTTCAAAATCCAGGTAGGCAGTAAAACACTCAAGCAGAACTGTTGGAATAAACCTACTCAAAGACTCGACGTCCAGCACAAAGTACCACTCAGATTCGGAGGTTGAGGAGGTGTCCGGGCGTAACGTGCAGGTGTAGTTTTGAAACTCGTCGTACAAGCTTGAACAAGAATCATTTCAAGCATCACTCGACAAGTAGAAAAACAATCAATAATAAGTAATTATAAGGATTCATTATGAATGAATAGTTTAGAAACTCATTAGGGTCAGCTGACCTTGCTTCCTCAACCATACACCCAGGTGAAACCGTACGGCGCACGCGAAGAGGGAGAGGATAGCCGTCTGAGGAGCTGTCAGTAGGAGGTACATATGTGATCGACACCGAATATATGCAAAGAACCTGGAATAAAATAATTTCAATTAGTTCAATGTTTTTTCATCAAAAAATGGAAAGACTGTTCCAGTTTACCATTGCCGCTTTTCCTTTGGATATCATTCCCAGAATACGAGAGAGCAGAGGTGTTGAAACGTTTCCAAAAAGGATCGTTCTCACATCACACTGTAAATGAACAAAACGTTATCACATAGCCACGAATCCAGGTTGAGACGATCTATTAGGTTGAGTCGATATGATTCGGACAAATTGACAAATTTTTTCTTTATCGTACAACTTTTTAACGACAACTGGGGTTCACTTGAAATATGCTCCATCTTCATCGATGACCTTCTGCCACCGGATAGGCAGATCGTGGATGCCCTTGCTCCAGAAGGCCGGGGGCTGGGCCTCGAAGAAGTTCTCGAGTGCCTTCTTGACGTCGTCGCGAGTTTTGAAGTCTTGGCCGTCCAGGTGGCGTTGGAGGTGGGAGAAAAGGTGGAAATCCGAAGGGGCCAGGTCTGGAGAGTAGACATGGGACCGCCGCCGTTGCGAATTTTGGACATTTGCCTTCAAGTTCTCGTAATTGACGAATGTAGACGTCGGCGGTTACTGTTGCACCTTCATCGAGCAGTTCCCAGTACTCTACGCCGTGTACGCTCCACCAAATACAGAGCATCACCTTTTTCGGGTGTGGACTGGGTTTGGGGACGTCGTTTGCGTCGGCATCTTTGTCGACCCATTGTGCACGGCGGTGAGAGTTAGAGTAGAGGACCCACTTCTCATCGCCAGTGATTATTTCGTCGAGCCAATGGTGGTGGCGCTTGAAGGTGAGCAACGAAAGTGCGACCTCGCACCGCCGATCCATGTCCCGCTGCGTCAGAGCATGGGGTACCCATCGACCGAGTTTCAGCACCTTGCCGATTGACTTCAAGCCGCGAACGACAGTAGTCTGACTCACCCCAAGAGCGGTCGCCATATCTCGAGTGGTTACGGATCGGCTTCCACCTGTTTCCGCAGCGAGTCCAAATCCAGCTCCCTCGGGCGTCTCGCATGGTCTTCGTCTTCGATGGAATAGTTGCCCGACGCAAACTTCGAATGCCACAAGTAGACTGTACTTCTAGCGGGGGCATGCTCCTTGTAGACTTCCTTTAGGCGTCTGTCGATATCCGCGGGTTCTTGGCCAGATAGCGTTAGAAAGAGCTTTTTATATTCTTTCCAACGGTACCTCGCGCGTCCATTTTCGTTCACTCGTTGCTGAGTTATGATCTCTAGAAATCATCACTACCATTTGTCCGAGCCATATCGACTCAACCTAATAAATTGAGGTGAGTGACAAACAATCGTCCGGAGCGGCGCTTGAAAGCCCAACCTATACGGTAAGCTGTGCGGCGACCTGTTTATTTGGTACCCACTGCCGAGTCCGAGCAGGAGGAGGGGGGGGGGGTGCTAACGAAGTCGCTGTCGCAGTGGGTTCCTCTTATTCCACGATATAACCTATCGCGATCGACAGACTCCAGATGGTTGTAAGAATGAAAACACTTTGCCAAGAACACTCGACGACGCGACATCTTGGCCACGTCCACCAGCGCCCTCAGTACGGTTGTCTTACACATCTGCCCCTCTCCCCTAAACTGAACTCACCTCTGCAGAAACGGTAGATACACGAATTGTGTGAACTGGCGAAACGGCTCGATCAAACATCACTTCACAACGCTGATCGCTTATCAACTTCTGCTCAACATTATCTCGAATAAAGCTAAGTAGACAGCGCACCCAATCGGCAATGATGTCACAAATATTAGTGAGCGCATTCCGATTCTGAAATTTCAACAATTAGAGAATATCTACGAAGTGGGGTTACAGCGAGGAAAAAGATATCTGAAGGTACGTGTTCAAAACCGATGATTTGTGCGGCTCAAATACTGTGGACAAGATGGCAGATATAATATGAAAGTGAAGAAAAAAAGAACCAAAGACTAAATGCCCCATATGGAACACTATGCTGAACCGCGCTTGCAAGTGTATAAGGTGAAGAAAGGGCAGGATCGGACGAGTTCTTTTGCTGATGCCAGCTCATTCTCCTTGTATCCTCTTTCTCACCATTCGAAATGGGAAGAACTAGTAGCGGAACAACCGCACCACCAGAACCTTTGGGACTGAAAGTTGGGCATTACAGTGGCCAGTGGGCGGAGCCGTGGTTTCGTCATAAGGGTGCGGCGCTTTCCTGACGTATATTTGAGCTGCCGACAAAATAACAAGTCTTCTAAATTCACAAAGGTCATTCTTAAAATGTCTCGAAGGTTCTTCGCCGAGGTACACATCTCACCGAGGAACTCTCGACGAGGGAGGTGCAGACGTAAATGAATACCTGAGAGATTTCACATAGCTACTTTTTCTCATTTTGGGCGCATTACTCCCAGTGGAGGGATAGCATTTAAAGAATTTTGTTCCTATCGGGATTTTGTAGTCTATTCGCACTAGCAAAGGGTCCATGGTTGGCAAGAAGCACAAAAGGTAAGAAGGAGAGAAAAGAAATGTAATACGCTGACCTCTGGAGTCAGGTTAAGAGCTGCTTGAGCCCTTTCTTGACTTGCTGAAGCTGGCATCCCATTCATGACATTGAAGCAATTGCCATTTTTCATCTAAAGGAATGGTTGACTACAAGAATAAAGCAAGTAATTGTGATGAGTGAACTTCGGTGCAGTCCGGTTGGTGGGGGGCACCACGAACTCAGGGAATGTGTACCAAAAAGTACCTGTCAATCAGAATGAACTAGCAAAGGAGTCAACTAGCAGAAGGAACTAACAAAAGTCGCTCTTCGCCCCTCTCAAGCCGAACGGAGCGCGACCTTCTTCTGCACACTTGTGCGTATGCAGAAGAAGGTCGCGCTACTACATTACTACATTACTACATTACTTATTCGATAGCACATTAAAAGTATTTTTATATATACGTTCTATAGAGTTCTATTCGATGAGAACTTCTTTCTTCAAGCCACGATATCCCTCGGAACAATCCATGGCGGAATCGCTTGGCTGCACCATCAGGGACGTCGCACCATTCGACGGCGATGCGGTTGCTGTTGGTGTCCTAACGTGCGCAGTAGAACGTATCGCAGGAGAATCTTTCGGACTCTGTACGCCATACAGGATGTACACCCAGCCTCCGCATGTTGGGGGTTTTAATGGTCCACTCTTAAAGTCGGTCGAGGGCGCCGACGATTCTTATATGGTAGGCGTGCTTGTAGTCATGCGATTTCCGTGCTGGTTTGTGTTGTCGCTAGGAAAAACTGGAACGATTCTGGCCCTACTACCTAGTAATCTGGCCGGCATTTCGCTTTTGAAACATGTCTCCAAGAACAATGGTATGACGCGGAACTACCAAAAGCACGGTCCAGAGATCGAACCATCAACTCTACAATATCACTCGGTAGCAGTCAGGAAGAAACTAGACAGGCTAACATGAACACCGGCTGGAGCCTGCAGGCGACGGCGTAGATCCAATACGTATTCAAAAAACAGTCACAATCCCAAAACTAGGTGGAAGACGCGGCGTATCTCGGAAGAAAGAAGAACTCAAGCAAACGATTCGAACATTGTTTTCACGTCAATGAAGAGTACTTCAGAATCCGATTGCTTCTTCATCCTGAATCACTTCGGGCCCAAAATGAAAAAAGCGCTTAGCATTCCTCCCTTCTTGAGATGCGCCTCGCATTCGACTCCAAGTCAGAACTACTGAATGCAATTTGGCGTACACGGAGACAAGCTAGTGTTCTCACTCTCTCATACCACTGTGATCCAGTCTTGTTCGCTGCGAATGCTGGGGCCGTCAAGAGCTAGATCTGAACCCCGCCAACCCGTTCTCCATCACTTTGAAGCATGCAAGCGACAACGGGTTGGAAACGGGTTGGCGCCTCGCCAAACCGTGCCCCTCCCCCACACGCCTCAGCATCCGCAGCTATCAGAACTGTACCAGTCACCCTGCCCTCAAGATCGCGAATAAGTTGAACTGCAACTGACGCCACGCCCCTCCCCTTCTACCTCTTCTGTTTATGGATAGTTATCAATAATTTCGAAGTATTACAACATTAGCTGACTAATATTTATGATGAATATGGCTAACCATGTTGAAAAAATAAATTCACCTTGATCAAGCTTGCTAACAATCCACTGACAGTCACATCAGCATCAATAATATTTGGTGACGTCTTCGAGGTAAGAGCGTTCATATCGAATCCATACCGAATGAACTCGAATAACTGTAATTCAATTAAACATCTTGAAAAAGACGGTCTGCAAAAAGACGAAGATGATACCGTACATATCGAGGATTCCTTTGCATAGCTGCAATATGCGGGCCGTCTACTCGAACACCAAGGAAGTCGCATTCAATGGTTGCTTGGCCGTATGGGACGCCTAAATTCAGTCGAGTTGATCACAATTCACACTTCTGATAATCGGATTAGGGAGAGGGCAGAAGGAAATTATAACCATTCGGAGTTGGGGCTCGGGGCAGACCCACTGAACGACGCGCTGAAGAAGGTGGCGAAGACCAGAAGGTGGGAAGGACCAATGATATCACACCCTGGCTCCGCTTATTCGTCAGTCCGAGCCTTTCAGCACTGGGTCTATACGTGAGACGGACAAGACAATCGTAAGTTGTCGCGTTCTCGCGCGCGACGCATCGTGCGGCGACGCGCAGCAAATTTCCAGTAAGCGCCAGTTTGTTGATCGGAGCAGCAAAACTCACATGATTTCAAGCGGAAACAGTACCCAGTGATAGGCGATATTGAATTTATCCTTCCCTGTGACAGTCAATTAGAAACGGCGCGGCGGGACAACTCGTCTTCCAGGCGCGGTAACGCTCGCCACGCCCATGGCATATTAGATTGTCACATATCCGTCTAACTCTACTACGCATCAGGCAGCGTCCATACTCGGCGATGACGCGCGACGCGCTACTACTGTATAGCGCTAAAAAGCTATGCTATCGATCGACTTGACAGCTTGTTTCGAGAGTATAGAATAACAGGAAGGTAGGCGCTGCCTTCAAACACGCTTCACGCTGGCCGCTGTACAGCGCGTCGACGCGCGTCGTCGCGAAGTCTGAACACTGCCTTACACTTTGCAAAGAACGACTGAAAGAACCGACCACAGTTGATGAATGCCAACTTCTGACAGTGTGCACCATATCGCATACAATGAAGAAAGCGCTGCAAACTAAAGGGGGAGGACTCATCCATGAACACCTCTGGAGATGGACTGATTGTCATCAGTTCATACATGAGCCTAAAGTAAAGTTGATTAGTCAACCGGCAAATTGACAACTAAGTTACCCGAAAATGAACTCCCGATTACCTGCATTTCCAGTGAGCTGCAGAGCAATGCGACACAGCTTCTAACCAACTTCCATCACTGAGCTCGGATTCTACCAGCTGATATTCTAAAGATGACGACGAGTCCGTGGGTCGGTCTGGTCTAAGTACATTGGAGTTACCAAAGATTCGGACTTTACCAACGAGATCCTGGAAAATGAGAAAAATCAATTTAGAAACCTCTGAAAATACACTTCAACATTACCACGCCACCCACCTTAATGATTTCGAACCTTTTCCTTTCGTTCACAACAGATCGCAGAATTTTGATGGCCAACTTGTAGGAGAGTTCGGCGTAGCTTAGCGCGACTGTCAGCAAATCGTTCTGTAAAAACCAGTGATCAAACTCTCTGAATAGCGAGCCGAACTACCACCCTTACGACGAGATTCTTCAGAAACAGTCAACCAATGATGAGGTAATATAAATACCCATGATAGAGTGGACGTTCACTCTCCCTTGTTGACAGTTCTGGATTAACTCTATGACAGTCCTGAAAGGAACTTCAAGGCAAGATCACACTCACATTGACTCGAGTGGATAAGTGCCCTATCACGAGGTGAAGCCTCTTCATAGTCAAAATTCCTCTCTACCCTTATAAGTCACACCCTTGACACGTCAACGCAAGAAGGCGCTTTCGACTTCGAGGGGCATTTTGCACTTTCGCTGGTCCCTTCTGCTACTTCCTCTTGAATTACACGTCGCATGGGAGATCTGCAGAGTCCGGTCAAGTGTAAAGAAAGCTCACGCTATTGCCTAGCTACTTCAACAGAAAGCGTCAGCAGTGTCAATGGGACCAGAAAAAAATGCCCCCACCCAATGCCGAACCATGCGCCACATACTCAGCAACGTGTTCACGTAACTGGTGAAGTGGGCCAGATATGTAAATTCAGCAAAGTTGTCGAGAGAAACCGATGCGCCTACATGCCCTCGAGCTGCCGTTCAATTACAACAGAGATTCAAATGGCTTTTTCTGCACACGACTGAAAAACGATACGGAGCTGTGAAACCGATTGCAAAAAATGCTACGGCCTGGTCATATGTCCACCCAGCCATTTTGCCGAGGAGATGAGTTGGCAGCTGTTAAAGCCTGAAGCGTTCTAAACTAAACGCAAATAAAGCTGAAGAACCACAGGGATAGGATTGATACCGAGCTGCCCCGTCATTGTGACTCTACCCTGTGACATCTACCTCTTCGTTACCCACACGCATGTATTTGGTAGCACTTGTGTTGATAACCAACTAAAATCCCGCAGTGGAACGCTCAGAGGTGGAGAAGAATAGGATGCGAGAGGCCCGCGCGGCGCGCAAGTGCGTCGTTTTGGCTATGGTTAGACGTTGGCCTCGAGCGCGGTAATGCGGGCAAATAATTGGGAGACGGTCGCGTGATAGCCCAGTATACATCCAGCCTCGCTTACCCCGAGTGCATTTCTGGGCAGGCGAAAGTGGCATGCATATGATGACGATACGGGCCATATTACCTCGCAACGTGCAGTGAACGAGGATTTAGAAGCAGAGTGGGTGAGCAGCTTTAGTCTTCAAGGTCGTCTTCTAGAGGTACTTCACTGATACGTTTGCGCGCTGTGCAGCGCCTGGAGGTCAATGGAAATGCAATATGATGACATCTAGACGGTGGATATGGTATTGAAAGACGAGAAGCGAGGAATAGCTGGTACTCCAGGTACAAAGCCAACCCCAGGTACACAGAGAAGGGGACTCCCATGTTGTCCACCCTCCTACTCCTGGTGGCTGGAATTTTCGCGTATAATTTTTGCCATAATCACTGCCTTCGTACCAACGCTATGAACGAATAATGCACTCACGTGGGACAGAGTTGTGCCCTTCTCGAGAACTGCATCCATAAATACGAGCGAATCTTCAATGCTTTGCTCGTTTGCATACTTACGAAGTTCCGCAAGTGAACAATCCGTTCTGGCAACACTTGCAGAGAGATGAACGGGTGCAGGATCGCCAGCTACAGAAAAGAACATATAATAAGGAAACAACCAATAAAATCAGACCGGAAGTAAATGGCACCTTCACTGATCTCATCGAATTTTCGCAGAGCTTCAGAGGCCTCGCTAGCGTCGCATTTGATGGGCTCAGGCACGGGAATGGGAATGAAGGGTAGCTGAAAACAATAATAAAGGTGATTGAAGGTTAGCGAGTCGGGGCCTGGACTAGAACTAACCCTTCGCACGAAATATCGTTCTCCTTCACAGCTAACTTTTTACGAAGGCTTGACACGCAACTACCCGATATTGTGTAGGCTCAATCCTGGCAATAATTCCAAGGTCACCCTCAAAGCAAAAAGAAACAAGCTCAATAATCAGTGGCGACTTCTGCGTGCATCCTTTCTCGCATGACAGATCATTTGGCGCGGCGATGGGTAAATCATCAAAGAGCGGCAACCGAGATCTGGAATAAGCTCTATTCGATTTTTTAGGCAATCGCCGAACACATAATGTGAAGGACCTGCTGAGGCTGAATGTGATCAAGTGAATAACAAATGGAGTTTTCCTGCAGTCGATAAGAAACTAAAGTACCCGACAGATAAGCTTTCAAGGCACTCGCTAATAAAAGCAGTGGGTAGGTTGCCTGTCCGACGAGGTTGTTGCCAGCGTACAGTGGTGGACCCGAGTGTGGGAAGCGGCGTTCGCTTCAATGACTCCACATTGGCTCTTCCACCATATAGATCAGCTCGGCAAACAGATCCCCGTCTTCAAGCCATCGTGATCACTGGATTCGGAATCAGCGGAAGTTGGCTTATTTTGTATGCTGGTGATCTGCGCCAGCTCAGAGAGAACACTTTTGTCGAACAGACCCTATCGATACTTCTATCCTCTCATACGACTGCTACCCCACCCCCCCCCCTTCTCATCGAATGGAATTCCCCACTTCTTCTCACCGGTTCCCGTATTTTTCCGAAATTTCCTTCAGAATGCTAAAGTTTTTTACAATTTCCATTTTTCAGATTTTCCCCATCTTAAGGGGGGGGGAGGGGCCATATACTACGACATAAACAGGAACAATCGCGAAAAAGTCAACCACACAACTCTACAACGCCGCCACAACGTGAATACGTTCCACCCCTCCCAACAATGACCAAGTACGACCCCCCTCCCCCTTTTCAACGTCCGTGAAGCGAGAAAAACCAACTATCAAATAAATTTTTCCAGCCCAAATAAACGACCCCTCTCTGATGTCCAAATACATCCCCCCGTATTGGGGGTTCCCCCAACAACGATGTGCCCTGTGCGTAGAGCAAGGGAAAGAAATATATAGCGCTTGAAACAGGAAACCCAAGAAGCGTCAGCAAGCGAAAGCATTCCTTTTTTTAAACAAATAACCCTTTATCCTTTTCAGGGACGCGACGTAAGACCTCCCAAGAGGTTCCCAACGTAAGTCGGAACCACGCTATTTTCGAGAAGCAAACATTGGCTAACGACCTTTGACTGTACTCCTAGAGGGGTCAACAGACTAATATCACTCTCAGATCGACGACGACGAAGGGCAACGTCCAAATGCTTTTCCAAAGTAGACTATGAGGGGACATGGAGAGCACCACATTTGCCGCCATTCAGCACGAAAAAGCATCCTCATTACAGCTTTACTCCAATCCCAAAAAAAGAAAAACTCACGTAAATATCTTTGCGAGCTTTTCACGAGTCATCCGTAAACATTCTTCTTTGGCGTTCTCTTCTATAACATGAAACCATCGTTCAGGAAGTCGCTCCGCAGAAGAAAACCTAAATACCTAGCTTGAAGCAACATGCTTGAAGATACGCCGCTTTCTTAAGGCCGGCTCCGGGGTCAGTAGAAATTGGTACGCTTGACCTCGTTAATGACTTGTCTCGCACCTATGATTCGAGGCATAATTAGCGAGGTGCGAAGCGACCTCATTAAGCCGAGGCACGTTAGCCGAGGCGGGCACGAGCTTCCAAAATGGCAGCAAATCGAGTGAAAACTCCCAACAGATTAAGGTTCAAGCGGCTTCGAAAAAGAAAAAAAAAGATTAAGGTGAAGGCTTACGAAAAAGTAGTACGATAAGGTAGTGCTACCTGTCAAACTGAATAGAATGGTATAATGCGTAGCTTTTTTAACTAACCAATATTCAAGTAATCGATAGAAAAAAATGTAAATCCGATCATTCAAGAGTTCATGACGAGAAGCTTCAAGAAGATCTCGTGGAAACTCATACGCTTACGAAGTGCATTCAAAACTATATGATACATATTTATTTGATGTGCACACTTGTTGTTTTTTTGAATAGTTGTAATAATATTAATAATAATAATAATAATAATAAACTAATAAATAGCTGGAATATATAGCAACCTTTTTACCCACTTCACCGAAAATTTTCAATGGATTCGTGCCTGGATAGCTCAATACTTCTCCTCCTACCGGGGCCAGCCGAAAGTAGCCTCGGCTTAATGAGGTCGCTTCGCACCTCGCTAATTATGCCTCGAATATAGGTGCGAGACAAGTCATTAACGAGGTCAAGCGTACCAATTTCTACCTACCCGCGGCTTCCGCAGTCGTAGAAGTGTGCCTCTTACGTCACTAAAAAGGGAGCAGGAAACGCAGAAATGAGGTTGGAGGGCAGTGCCATGAAGGTACAGATATCCACCACCCATCCCCCCCCCCACCTCAGCGCTCATTCTTTTCAGGATACGCCGACTGACTGATAGCTGGCAGCGAGCTGCACATTGTTGACTGTTACTCGGCTAATCACTGGAGAGAAGTCAGAACTAGTAGCTGACCTTCGTGAATTCAGAAGTTCCTTTGCTGGTGATCTGCTTCGTCGCGACCCACCATCAAAAGACATACGCAGTATTACTCCACACGATCTTCTGCTTCCGACTCCTGAAAAATATTGCAAACATCATCTGAAAGGAAAAAAACAACTAAGCAAACCTTTCTTGATCTACTTGTGTCGTTGGCTGAGCTGTCCTTAATCGAAATAGAGTAGAGCGAGGTATTTCTCACCTCGGCTTCTTTCGTGGGGAGCATCTACGTTTGATGCGTTTTCTGGAAAAGATCCAAGAGTAATCATTGATAACACTAGACTAGAAACCTACCAAACCCTACTTATTAAAACATCCTCAATGACACTTACCTTCGGACCTCTCTTTCGTTTCACTTCCGGTTCGATCTTCGTAGGAGTAACTGATAAACGCTAAATTTTTCTATGACAGCACTCTGTTCCAGCCAATGGAAGGGATTAACTATGGAAAATGACATGTGCACGAACCCTTTTCTTCTTATTTGGGAAATATTCGTCGTCGTTATCATCCGAGTCCACAACAAAACCATCTAGTTTTTCCTAAAACCCGCAAACTGTACAAATACGAACAAATACGCTCCATATAACTAAAACAGCGTCAGAATTCGCGATGATGCGCGTCGTAGCGCCCGATTTTGGAGAGCACTGGAGAAAAGGAAAGTCATTATGCAGTCTGTTACTTCCCTATTCTCCTGTACTCCTTAGAACACTAGCGCAGTCTGGTATGCGCCATCCTCCTCACTCCCAAGATGATGGGCGCCGACCGATATCCGTCTGTGGCATGTTCCCCCTCCCCTATTGCATCAGAACGCTATTGCAACGGAAGCGCGATGACGCGCGTCGTCGTGAAGTCTGAACGCAGCCTAACTAGGCTAACTGTATAAGGGAAAGAACTCTACAGAACCCACATGGCCACGTTCATAAGTTGGAAATGTTGAGAACGGCGATTGAGAGGGGGGCGCGACTCAAGAAAATCAGTGAATGCAAAGCATCAGCGATAAAGAAATAAATAGAAATTGGCTGATTTCGCCCGCCAAGGATTTCAGAAAACTTGCCTTAAGAGAGAAAGCGCGATCTGCTAGTGGAAAGAACCAATCGATTTCCATCTTAACTTTCGTAGCCGATTTTTCCGAATCGCGTGTTTTTCCGGTCTGCATGTTCTCACGACGGACACGTATTTTACATAGCCTTGTTTACTGCGCATACTGGGTCGTGTTAGGGGGAGGGGCGCCAGCCTCTTCTCCACCAGTTGTTAGCTTTTACCTCTTCGACAACTGGTGGAAACAAGCTGGTTTCGCGCCAATCCTGCTCATGACAAGCCCCACCATCATGAGCAGACAAGAGTGTACCTAATTCGCCGAAATCGTGGATTCTCGCCAAATATGGGGGCGAGGAATATCGTAAATGAATAAAAGGGAAAAAAGAGGGAGAATTGCATGAATACAATACCTTATCCTTCCGTTTTTTCTTAGTGGGAGGATCTCTCACTAGCTGCGAAGCCGACGTGATAGCGTCACGATTTTTGAATGCCAGTCGTTCCACCTCTTCTTCAGTGAGGGACGTAGTAGGTTCCCCTGGAATAAAAGTATTATTCTCTGTATATATCACTACAATTAGCATTGTCATCTAAAAATATATGGGCACCAGAGTAGTTGGGCAGAGGTGTACAAGCCGCCGCGACTAAATCCATTCTTGTGTGCTGTTTCACGAATAGTAGTAGTGGCGCACCCTTCCCAGACTGCTAAGCCTTGGAAGAGCGTAGATAAGCAGATTGTGTGAGCCCGTCTCAGGCCACACAGCAGTGGAAATAGAGGCGTGGTCGGGTACTCCCCCACCCAAGCACAGTAATGCCAACTAAGAGAGGGCAACAGTTGCGGGCGCTCCTGTCAGGCAGCGTTGACATGCGACAGCTGTGACGCGCTACAGTTGTCAATCCTATAGACACGAACCCAGACGGGAATCGGTAGGCGCCGGCCGCTTGTCTCGAGAGCCTAGAGCAAGAGGGCAGATGCTGCCGTCATACTATCTGCTACTCTCGCATTCTTCTTAAAGTATCCCGAAGCAGTAGCGTCA